ACAAGCTAGAATATAAAATAAGAATGTCTTATCTTTTCTACTTGCTAAGATATTGCTCATTTAATAAATCAAACACAGTGGCACCCTGCACACCTCTTTCCATTTTGGAAACACTCCCTTATATACACATACTTCTGTATATGACATGAATAACCAATTGGAAGCTCAGAATGTCACCCTAGTGGCTTTCTCAGCCATTTTAATAGGTTTGGATGCCATTTCTTTCTTTTGAACCAATATTTCAAGGAGGTAGGGCATGTGTTTAGTCTGCTCAAAATTTCATATTTTTAGTATAATTCCAAATTTAGTATGTACACCTTCACAAAATCTGGCAAACTTTCAATAAACGTGAAACGTCTGTTGTGCACAGAAAATCAAATTTTGTAATAAAATATTTTTATTATTGATTTGTGTGTAAATTTATGAAACATTTACCAAGTTAGTCTGAGTGAAGGGTGATTTTCATCTTGCAGTAACTTTTGTAACTTCTAGAAACTCCTACATGAATATTGTTTTTGGTAAAGCTTTACAATTTATCTTGTATTTTCTCTACCATAATACTTATTGTAGTGAAACCACCAATAAAAATGAAAAGTTTAAAAAATTGTATGTAAATCTAAATCACTCCCCCTCCTTTTTTTTATACACAATGACTGCATGTTGTAACAGACAATGACACAATTTATTCTTACAATCAAAGCTAATAGACTTTTCAAATCTGGGTTCAGTTGGTTTTTACAGCTATGCTTGGACAGTCTTGGAGAAATCTGAAAGTCATTTATCATAGCTGAACAGCTTTGTGTAAACAAGCAATCAAGTTACCAACATGAACTACAGTCATGCCACATGATATGCATTTGCTATGATAGTGTTATGGGACATATTTTTATTTAGTATTTCATTTAAGTTTTCTTGTTTAACCTAATAATTTTCTAATTTTTACATATTAGTTACTTTTATAAAAAAAGTATACATGTAAAAATTATCTGGACTGTATTTTTGCCATTGGGGAAAGAAGTACAGTAGGCCTAGTTTTTTGTAATGATGTTGGTCAAATTATTAATTTTCATTTCAAATATGCAGTTTAGAATGTCCTAAAACTACTAATTCTTGAATTGTATGTATATGGTTCACGTAATGAAACTTATTCTGAAAAAAAAATTAACTGTGCTCTGTAATTACAGCTTATGTGATGTCAGCTGTTCAAAACCAAAACTACAAGAAACCAACACCCATTCAGGCACAAGGATGGTCCATAGCTTTGAGTGGAAGAGACATGGTGGGAATTGCACAGACAGGATCCGGAAAGACATTAGCAGTAAGTTTGATTTTATTCATCGAGGGTAATTCTCTTCCAAGATTGTGATGTAGTTGCATAAAAGTTGTTCAATATTTTATGATCTTTCAATAACAGTATTGGCAGCAGAAGCTACAACATTGTTATATATTGGTTAGGTATTTTATTAATATTAGTACCATACATGTATTTGTAAAACACTCCATTTAATTGGAAGTATGTAAGACAACTACCTACTTGACCTCTGAAAGTGAGAAGATAAACATATCATGGTTAGTCTTCAAGAGAGAGAGTGGGTAAGATCAAAAATTATTTCTGACTTTTAGATGAGCCCGAGAGTGGGTACTCATTAATATGAGCATGTTTAAGTAAGACTGTGAACTGCTGTCCAAAGTTATCTGTCGTCAAAGTCTGTTAGCAGTGGCAGTGAAAGATAAATCCAGGTATCATGAAGGAAGTTGTTTCTATTAACCTCTAGATACAGATGATTGGAAAATACTTGGGCAGCCTTGTAAAGTACACAAGTTATGAGACTGTGACCAATGTGATTGAATTCTTTAACAGCGGTTGGGATTTGTTTATAAACAATTAAACCAAGTGAATGACATATAGCTACCGAAGAACCAGAATCAAAACTGTTTTTCTCAGATGCAAACAGGATAGTGCTCCTTCATTGGTTCTTAATGTGCAAAGTATGATCAATGAATAACTGGAAGTAAGTGATGTGGGGTGGTGAGCCAACAAAAGCATTAGTTATCATCCATTTGAGCATCTTTGGGATGAATTTGAAATTATATTTGCTATCATAATCCACTTTCAGTTTCTATAAAACTATTGCAGACCATAAGGCTGCTATTATGAATGAACTTCAGTGTAACTAAACACCTCCCAGCATTGTTTGGTGTCTTGACTATTTTTATGACAAAGAGTAGTTCAAACCACTGTTATGTGGGAGCCTTAATACATTTTTTTATATAAGAGTAAATGAAATCAGTATACCTATTATTTTTAATTAATCTTTTTTACTTAGTTTTTTTTAGAGTGTCTAACATAAAGATTTTTATATCAGTTGTACTGTTTACAACTTGTAGTGGTTGAACAAACACTTAATTCTACAAGGAAATATTAAAAAAAATCCTAAATTTCCCATAGTGTGACACATTTGACACATTTTCTCCAGGCATCTTGTCTTCTCTATATTATCTACCACCCCTTGGAAAAGTATGAAATTAAATGTAAATTACTCACTATAAAATTGTCATTGTTCAGACAAACCATAATTTTTATAGTCTTCAATTTTGTTTGGTTACAGAGCTATCGAATAAAAAATCAAACCCCACCTGCCACACCCACCTGTCGCATTCTCTCTTTCATGATTTGTTAATAGTTCTCTTTTACGTTTAAATATATATTACCTTTAACCAATAGAAAATTAAGGTTTTCATCTACTAAATGACTTATGCTCTGAACAGTTAAATGTCAGTTTCACTCAGAGCACCAACATTGTTCCTATTAGAAAGTTAACGACTAGCTTGGATGAACTTATAACGACTCTTGTTGCATAGTTAGAAAGCCAGAAACATTTTGGAGAGATAAGGGAATTTGTCTACTTTTTGCATGTTATTAGTCTATATTGTTTGGTGCATTATTTAAATAAATAAAAATTATTAAGTGCATTACTATCATTAGTATATAATGTTCGAATTAACTCTCTTCGACAATTGATGGCAAGAAAAAAGAAGATTGGTTAAGTATTTTATTTCTTGTTTATACTTTATGTATAATTATAAAAGTAAGTGAAATGTAAAAATAGGGATCCTTTTAGGTTAGTCTAGATCAGGTAAAATAAATAACAATAATATCATAATAAAAATGTTTCATGAGGCACACACATGAGCAGCTTGTAGTAGCTCATGGGTAATGTAATTTGTTAGTGTAACGTGAGCTGCACATTCCCAGAGTGATTTACAATTTATAATTGTTCAGATAATATTTAGACATGGTTCAGAGGGCAATAGAACAATAAAATTTAATTATAAATAGGTGTATATTGTTACAAACTTAGAGCTACTTAGGATAAACAAATGTAGTTTCATGTTACAATTTGAAGTCATTCTAGAAAGAAAAAAAGGCTAATTTAGATTTATTTAAATTTTTTTTTGGTGGTTACGAGGTTGGTCAAATTGACCAATTCTGTTTGGAGATAGGTAGAGAAAATAACAGATAAACTAAAGTTTTACTGAAAAAAAAAGTTTGAAATGCATTTAGGAGGTTTTTAAGGGTTACACAAAGGAAATTTGAGATTTTTGAAATAGGGAAAAGTATTTTTAATTTTAACATGAAAATTATGTAGCACACAGACTATTCAAATCAAATAGTCAGTATATTCCTGGACAAATCTTTATTTTATTTTATTAAAAATACTTCACTAAAAATATGATTTTTTGTATGTGAAAGAATTATAATATTAACTGAAAGACTGCCAAATTTTGTGAAGATATACACACTATTGAAAGTTAGAAGTATTAAATCTCTAAAGACTTTAAACGAGTACAAAGAGGTCAGTGGTCGGTAAAATTGCCTGAGCCCGTGTTGAGAGAGTTAAGCCATTCCTCTTTAAAAGCTGAAAAGCACTTTTATGAGCTTCTGTTGGCACCTGTACTCCTGCTTTATGTTTGGACATTGTATTGTTCAAATTGTAAGCCTATGTTTTTCACACAAAACTTAACAACTGAATAATATGTGATCAGCCTATTGTTTTGATGCGAGGTACCTGCCAGTTTGCTGCATGGCTACACATACATCCAGCTTAGAAGGAACATTGTACAGGACTGATATTTTGTGAAAGCACATAACATACTTAGATCGTCTGTAGACAGAAGAATGTATATATTCTCTACAGGTAAAGATCTAAATAACACTTTTCTTAACTGTAAAACACATTTGTAAGTGATTCCAGATTTTCAGAGCTTTCTGGTATACACACTAAAGATAGCCAGTTTCTTATGTTTTAATATATTAATGTATTATTATAGAAAGATTTCCTTTTGTGCTTGTTTCTCAATTTGTGTTCAGATTTTTGAACTTGTGGAGTCAAATTTTCACTGACTGATTAAAGAAAATTTCAAAATAGTATGGATGGTAGTTGTTGAAAATTATGAATAAACTTTAACTATGTTAACAGATTTTATGCACATTTCTCTTAGGCCCATGTGCTGTATATTTGCTTTGATGACAGTTTACCTGCTGTCACGTATTTTAAAGATTTTTACCACAAAATGTAAGCAGATATCCATACATTCAGAAGACACATTTCGTAGTTTTGACATGGTGATATTCATGAAAATTATATGTAAAACGTAGTACTAATCTTAATGTGGACTGTAATCAAAACCATTTTTTATTGGGTCTTTTTTTTACCTCTTTCCATGTCAAGATTTTTTGTGGTTAAACAAATGGACTGTCTTGATTTTTCTGATATTTCCAATTATCAATTCCAATTTCTTAATAACATTGTACAGTGACAAAAGTTTTAATACAGTTGAGTGCAAGCTCTAAGCAAAATAAATAAATTGTGTTTTAAGTTTGATCAAAAGGAAATTATTTGATTAGTTTTTACATATAGGCATCAGATATATAGATATATTTTTTTTTACAGTATATTCTTCCAGCCATTGTTCACATCAGTAATCAGCCATATTTAGAAAGAGGAGATGGCCCTATTGTAAGTGTTGTTTTCTGAATTCATTCATAAACTGTTTGCATAAGAATATAAAGATAATTAGAGATTGAGCTAAGAAACAAATGTAATGACTTTCAATCCTTGTATTTCAAGGAGTGTATAAGTTAGTCTTTTGTTACCATAGACCTGTTAATATTTACATGAAGAATCTATATTATCTATTACATCTAAATCAAATAAAGAAGATATAAGTAATGGAAGGATATATAGTGTAGAAAGTTGAGGCCATTACATAATCTAAAATTGATAGTGGTCAACAAAAGCTTCCATTTGTCCTATCATCGTGCTTACAAACTTAAATACAACATTGTAAGATAAATTAATAAGATTATTACTTTTTGTGCATGAAAATATTTTGTATTTTAGGTTTTAGTACTAGCCCCAACTCGAGAATTAGCACAGCAGATTCAACAGGTTGCATCAGACTTTGGTCATTTGTCTAGAATTCGAAATACCTGTGTATTTGGTGGAGCACCAAAAGGTCCACAGCTGCGTGACCTTGAAAGAGGTTGGTGTTATGTATAAACTAATTAATATAGTACCATGAAAGGCTTGCTACCACAAAATACATTGCTTTTATTGTTGTTGGCAGTGTTCAATCCATGTTTAGAAATTATATAATTGTGTTTGAATGAAAGTTTTTTGTTTGTTTTTAAGATACTATTACTGCAATTAGGCATAGCTATTGTAGGTAAGGTCAGCTATTGAGCTTGTATTTTATTTACAACGTTCATGATAAAGCTAAGACAAAATTTCAAATTTGATAAGTGTTGTATATTTTATCGTGATGAAAGAAATCAATGTTTATACATTAGCTTTTTGAGTTCTAGTGTAACAATGTTGAAATTATAGTTTATCATTCTTGCTTTTATGATAGCACCCATCATAATTTCATTATTTTCCTGTTGAAACTTTGAAACTCTAGACTTGCTTTGTATTCACGTTAAAATTCTAGACTCACTCTGTCATTTGAGAAAGAAACTAGCATATTGAGGAAGAAGTATTATTTTTATAAACTTTCTAATTTAATAAATTCCAAGAGCCTTATTGTGGCTTGTTGAAAATGAAGTCAACTCTTTAAAAACTAGTCTTAACTATAGGCTTTTCAGGTATTTTAATGTGTAGTATCCAAAGTTTAAGGTATATGTTGTGAATGTCATTGAAGAATGAATATTGAAATATCTCACGAAGAAAAACATTTCAGAAAGTGTCAGTCTCATCAAGATTTTTAAAGTTAAAAGGACATTTAAAAAAGTTGTAATTTTGGTTGTAAGCTGTTTAAATTATCAAAATGTGATGTATACTGAAAATCAAATACAATTTAAGAAAATATTATTTGTTCCCATTTGAAAATATATTTATTTAACCCCGTACCTACTGGGGCCATTTTGTCTAATTGTGAGGGCAACATCAAATGTGAATTGAAAAAAAATTATAGAGAATTTATATTTTTGTTGGATTTCAGATTCTATTTTTGTAAAAAGTAGCATAACATTCAATTATTTGTCATAAATTGTATTGTTTAATGAAATTTAAAGAGAAGTTTAATAAACAAAATCCCAAAAATATCTTTGAGACTATAAATGAACACCCTCTGAGAAAATATATTCTTTGCACTTTAGTGCTTGTCCTGCCATCTATGATTGGTATCTAAATCTTTTTCTAGTCTGTTTTCTTTATAAAACAGTGTCTGGCTGTGTTAAACCTCAGTTGTAAAACTTTTAGCCAATCCTAGTCGAAGGGATCAGTTTCAGCACCATGTTATTCCAGTCACTGTATTTCATGTTTGACAAATCATAGGATGATAAGCAAAGCACGTGACAAAACGTTGTTCTCTGGATTTTACAATATGAACGTGGGTGGTGCTTATTATAGTACCTGCCATTTTATGTAGAGGTTGTATTTAGTAGTGGTCAATAGTACTTTTTATAAGCCTTAGAAAATTTGCTTTTGGAAGAAACTGCATGATATGTACGGGACTTTTATTATTTTTCTATAGTAGCTTAAATCATGCTATATTGTATATCTATTTATTTACATCATTATATTGAAACATTAATTCAAAATAAATATATTTTTAGGAAAGAAGTTGATCCATGAATGTTAGGGTTAAGATCTATTGAGTGGCGAGTGCATGGTCTTTACATGAATTAGGCTTAGCACTTTGAAATGAAAGAGTTTGTGATTTTTATATTCTTTTGCATTTACATTAGTAGTTTTAAGTTCAATAATTTAGTGTAATTTTATATTTTTCCTTCTTACTATCTTTACTATGTAGTAAGACCCACACTTCTGTTGTGGCTTTATAATCAAAACAGTCTAACTGATATATGAAAAGCTTATTCTGATATTTTGCAAGTGGTTTAAAACTCAGTGTACAAGTGACAACAATAAAACCCATATGTTGGTTGTGAAACGGACTGAACACAATCATCTCAATAATACAGGGGAAGCTATGACATTCTCACACTTGGGGTCTCAATACACTGAAGAGCTTAAGTTTCGAATTCCAATATAAATCTTGCCTATAATGAAAGGAATGTGACCAGGACTAATGTTTTAAGTGCTTTAAAGTAATTTTCTTTATAATTTATGGTGTCTGTATTCTTTGGTAATCTCTTGTAACAGGATGTATCAGGTAACTAGGGTCAGGTGGTGTTATTCAAATTGCCTCTACTGTAAAATATTACATACATTCACTAGTAGTGACAATTAATTTTGTCTGTATAGTGAAACAACATACAAGGTCATGTGTTGAAATAAATTTATTTGAAA